AAAAAGGTAGGAGGAAGTGGCGTTGCTCTACTTTAAGGTATCCTGTAGTGATAGCCTTATAACGACTTAAAAAATGAGGACATATCTAAACAAATAATAGCCAACTTTCTTCCTCTTCTTCTATCTTTACGAATTGCTTTTATTCGGTCTGTTCACAATCAGAATTAATTCCGAAATTGGGCATCTTATATACAGTTTGTAGGATTCTTTGAAAGGCGGTTCATTCTGTCACAAGGCCGCAGCCTCAACGGGACAACGTAAACACAGAGAGACATCTTTGTCTCGAATGGGATTCGAAATCATGACACCAGTTTCTGAGCGGGCGGAGATGGTTCACGCCTTAGACGGTACGGCCGCTGTCTTCGGCGTGATAGCCAATCTTGGAGCCGATATCTGAGCCCGGATCCTCCATAATATTACGTAGAAATGCTGGTCACTCACTACACAGAATATCCAGGCATTTGAGGTTGGCCCATTTCGATCTTTCCAACGTGTCGATAGATACAGCTCAGGGTGACTTCAGTTTAACTCATATACTTACAATAATATTATCTTTATTATATACTATTTGGACGATCACATCGCGGAAGATGAGATTTCCAGTGCATGTAATACATATTTGAATGGTGACCAATGCGTAATAATTTTAACAGGAAAGTCTAAACGGAAGTATCATTTGGAAGACCTAGGTATAAATAGGATTATATAAAATTAATTTTAAAGAAATATATTGTATCATGAGATTATGGACTGGATACATTTGGCTGAAGACAGGGAATTGCGGCGGTCTCCTGAAAATATTATGGAGAATCTTCGGATTCTATGAAAAGGAGGAAATCTATCGACTAGCTAAGAAGCTGTGTGTTCCCTACAAGGATTCTGCTTCATGGACGTAGTTACAAGTATTGCAACATGAAGGAATTCGGTGAAGTGGTGGCCCACCAGCCATGTGATGATAATCGAGGAGCTGTTTCAAGGAAATAGCGGCTCCGGTCTAGAAAACCGAAATTAAAGGCCCCGGGTGGTGGGATTCGTTACGATGACCACGCGACACCCCCTATCCGCTAAAGTTGGCACTAACTTCGCCGACAAGCGGCGGTCGCTCGGTCGGTATAGTTCGCTTGCGGACTCAAGTCACTTTTTTTTATCTTTTGTTTTGAAGGAACTCGGTTAATTTCGTAACGCGGCAAATTCCGCAGTAAATAGAGCAGTATTTCACTGGGCGTTTAGGCCAGTGAAACTTCAATAATTCACTAAGATGCTTTGTATTTATTCTCATAACCGTCAGGATGTAGGCCTGATTCCTTTGCATAAATTGTAAGAACTTTCCTTCTCAACTTCACTCCAGGAAGCACACAGAAGGGGGGAAACGTGATCAGAAAGCAATTGATATTGGACGAGTTTTCTTTCCGTTGTTTATATACTTTTTTTTTCAGTCGTTAGAGATAATTTGAGCTAGTAAGATAGAGTGGTTGCTCTAATAGCTATCTTCAGGCGGAATCTAGTAAGATAATAGATAATTTAACGATGTTCTAACTACAGAATTCACTTAGTGTTGCATGTCAGGATGATGAGTTTCAGAGTCTGGAGGGTAGACCTTTTTCCTTCATTCAAAACATTGTTCTGGTCTTGACATAAAAGTACAGAAAAGAGCCTTAGAGAAAGTAATTCTCTGTCGAAAGGGCTGACTTTAGGTAGAACCTAAATTCAGAAGTGCACTTCTGGAGTTAACCCACTCGAAAGGGAATGTTTGAAATTTTTTATTTGCGTTCACAGGGTTTCAAACATAGTTTGTGAATTCTTGTAAACTAAATTTGAGAAGAGAAGAAGCACCAATATTCTTCTAGGTCTTCTTTCACAGTATTTAGAGCTTCTAAATCAGTTCTTTATTCGGAGTTGTCCATAAACATTTGTACTCAAATGATAAATTAATGGATATTTTAGTGTTCAGAGAGGAGTTTAAACAAACGCTTTTTTTTCAGACTTACTATGTATACGCTTCAAGTAGTGAACATAGTTACTTACTTTCAAAATTTCTACGTCAAAACATACAATTACAATATTTTTTTTGTATATTTTACACTCGAATTTATATTAAATGCTAGCGAAGTGAGCTACGAGTATAAAGCGTAGCCACGCGCTCTATCAAAATGTGCAATAAATCGAGTCACCAATCCAAACCCCACCCATAGGCACACTCCATGCACGTGACAGTACAGGTATGTATGCATAGGTCGTCCCGAAAATGAAGGCTGTTTGGCTATTAAAAAAATTAATTTTTGAATTTAAAAAATATTTTACATCATTACTACGGATCTTAAATCACTTTTCTACAAAATTCCTATGACTATTAAGACGTTTGTATCGTGTGACGAGTTTCTGTATGCCTGCAACTTAGAAACCTGCCGCAAGTCCACTGAACCAGTCTTCAACTCTCTTCTTCACTTCTTCATTGTTACTTTTGCGTGTGCGGCCCAAAAAAAACTGCTTCAAGTTTATGAACAATTGAAACTCACTTGGAGTCAGTTCTGGGCTGTAGAAAGGATGGACAGAGACGTCCAAGGCGAAGTGAGCAAGTAGCACAAATATGCTAAAAGCCTTTACTTTCTGGATGAACTTCACACATATATATAGGTGTGTAATTACCAGGGCCCGGATTTTTATGCCATGTCATCTTTTTTTCTTGTATCTTATGCAATGCTCTTAAATATATAAATCTCAGATATGAGCTGCTGGTTACAGAAATGTAAATTTCATAGGTAATTTTTTGTCATTCTTGACATTTTTATGTTTAAGGTCATTTTTTCATATTTGGGGCAATTTTTTGGTAAATTTTTGGATTTTAAGGGTATTTCTTGTCATTTTTGGCAATTTTAGGGAATTTTTCTTCATTTTTTTCTGAAATGTGAATAACATGGAAGCGAAGTGTTCTTTCTTTTCTCCTTTAGTTCATTTTTGTGGATTTTTTCGGTCATTTTATAGTTCATTTTAAAAATATTTTCAGGTCATCAAAATCCGGGCCCTGGTAATTACGATTCAATCAATTGGTTTGTTATGCAACAAATAAACATCAAGACCAATGAGGCATGCAAATTCACAGATGAAGAAATTGGAAAATACGAATACTTGAAACTGGAATTCGTCTTCCCTGTCTGTCTTTTCTTGCCTCCATTCACACTGACAGTCTGTTACAATTGCAATACCATTATAATATTCTGTACAGCGCAGTCGGTACAGGGACTGGTTCCGGGTTGGATGGCCGAGGGGTCGGAGTGCACGGTAGCTTTTAGAGATGAAGTCAGGAAAATTGTTCTATTCTCAACAGCAAGAAAGAGAATATAAATTTTTGTATTTCGATAAGAATGTACATGAACCAGTACAGGATTTTGTACCTTTCATTACCCTCTTTAAAAGCCTAGTGGTTAGATTTTACAATATTATATATGTTGTTTCGTATGTAGGCCAAACTTGATATCGACTGGAATATTTGACGGCAGGGATAGAGTCAGAATTTGTACTAGTGAAAAATATGCGTGAAACATAACTACTTATGCCAATATAATTACTAGTTTGCTAGCCTTTCGAGGCTGTTTGAAATACTTAAGGGAAGCGAGTGTCATACAAATTCTGTTCCAGCTGTTTCTTGTTCAATTTCATATGTTGCGAGTCTAGTATCGAATAATAAATCAACCCGACTATCCGGCCTTGGAGCTGAGAAAAGAATCCAGGACCTCCTAACAGAGGAATTCTAACCGTTACCGATTTGCCTCCTGAATTTGATCACGGAAATGGCGTACTAAGAGAGTTGTCGGCTTCCTGCCTTATGCAACAGATATTTTAGATATTACCACGGCCCCGCTAACATCGGTACAAATTGAAGGCTAAAATGAATTACCAAAGAACATTACTGTAGTCTGGTATGTGACGCCGTATAGTTTGGTAGATATTTACTGGTGTTTCGGAGGAACGTGCTGTCAGACTTATAGCGGCAAGTCTTTGTGCATGTAATCGGGAAGACACGCGGTAGCGTAGTTGATTGAGACACTACGCTACAAGCCGGAAGATCACGGATTCGAGTACCGATGAGGTGACTATTTTCAATTTACCTAATCCTTCCAGCCGCACTATGGCCCTGGAGTCGACTCAGCCTCTAACAGAAATGAGTACCAGGAATCTTCCTAGGGGTAAAGGGCGGCCGTCGCGTAAGGCTGACAACCTCACCGCCATCTGTGAGCCGACTGTATAGAAAATGTAGGAACCTCGACGTCTCACAACCCTATGGACCTCCATGGTCTGTTAGAAGGATAGCTTTACCTTTCATTCGGGAAGTACCAGTTTCATAGCTCTTCTACGGTAACAGCTCTCATGAATGAGGTATACCGTATTTACGCATGTATAGGCCGCGTGCGTGTATAGGCCGCAGCACAATTTTCAGACAGAAATTATAGAAAAAATAATTTTCTTGGAATATTATTTCAGGAGTAGAAATTATTCCGAAATGAATATGATTAAATGAAGCGTGATTTCGAATATTTCGAATATAAGCCGCACCCCAGTTTTCCTCTTGAATTTTTGGCAAAAAATGTGCGGCCTATACATGCGTAAATACGGTATTTGTAATTTTCCTTACAAACTTAAAGACTATCTAGGATATGTGTATTTTATAATAGGCCACGACTACCTCCTTTCTAATATGTGCTCTCAGTTAAAAAGCATCTTCAATTTGATCCGACTTTGTGGTCCTGTATCCTCTGCAGTTTATACGGCATGTTTAAAGAACATGAGGATCGTTGAACGATATCTAACTTCCATTTATCTTTGCTTAACGATCCATTTTTTCATCTGATTTTGATGTGGAATATTGGCTGAAATAGATCCCTTGATATTGAATAACAAATAATCTAAAATTATATATTGTAATTGTATTTTCGTTTAAGCTCGTTACATGATCTTAAGGCCTCATTCATATTAATGTTCCTGTTATTTTCTTTTATTTTTAGGTTGGATATTTAAATGAACTCAAGTTCATCTGCTACAGCTCTTCACAGGTCGGAGAATTCGCTTTAAGATCCATCAGCTTTGAGGTAGGTAAGATAGTCGTCATATTGAGTGCATCACTGTCCAATTTGGAAACTTAGTGTCCATCCCCTGTACAACATTCGGCATAAAATGAAACAAGCATTAGATTTAAAGCTTTCTTGTTACTCAAAATTTTCCTACAGTTTTAGTATACTCGTACATGTCCGATGGAATATAGTTTCCAAATATTTATTTCCCAAAAGTGAATAAAGTTCATAGTACGAATATTATATCTTCAAGTGTATTAGTGACTATAGACGGGGTTTGGATTGGTGAATATATTTACTGACCACTCACAATTAACTATAACACTATTGCTGATTTACACACTACAAATCACTCCACACCAAGTCTTCTCAGTCTACTTTCACTGGTCTTTACTTCGTAATAGCTCTCAACAACTGCTATTCCTTTGCCATGTCTTCACTGGACATTTTCTTGGTAACGAATCTTAGCACTGGAGAATCTTCCGTGGTCCGCTGTTTAACACTCTGCACCTGAACCCTTATCTCAACTGACCCCTGTAGCGTCAGTTGCTTTCAAGTTAGCCATTCGGCACGGACCCCACTGGAAACCTTTTCTTTTGTTGTCAAGAATGCATGTTTATTGGCCTGTTACATAGCAACGGATATATGCGAACAACATAGAAACCCATCTTGCGACACCGGTTCTATTCTTGCGTACGCGTTTTTCGAGCGTTGCCTGGAAATGGATCTACATGTCACAATACGCTTCGGGCAGTGTCGTATGTCGCTGGAATATTCTTCTTCGAGATACTTTTTTCCTACCGATAGGCCTGCCTTATTTCATTTTTAAGCAGAAACGTCTTCTGCTCTAAAACTGATTCATAACACTGTCAGTGACTGAGAAATTTGGCTCAAACAGTAATGCTCCAGAATGTTACTCGGCCGGAGTCCACCCATAATGCAGTTTGTCGTGTTTCCTCAGACCCTCCATGGAAATTCGGAATACCTTCAATGGAGCTATCACTGTTTTCTTTCACACTCTCTGCAGTTCGTTTTCACTACCATAAATGGATGAAAAGCTATTGGCAGTAGCCTAATATTGAAAAGAAGCTAAAAAATCATACGTATAGTATATATATTGTATGCTTATTTTAGTTGCATTTTGCATGAATAGGTAAGAATATGGCAAACAAATACGTCTTGTCAGACAGAAATGCATTTTCAGTTTGAAGCAGAACTTCCAAGCGACGGTGCGTTCCCTGAAAACCTTTGTAAATTTCCGCGATATTCTATGTTGCTCGTCAAACTAATCAAAGCCCTTTCATCTTGTTGTCATGGAAACATCGGCCGTACTGACTCCACAGCCCGGACCCTCTGACCTTCTGTGCACCTACGCCACGGAGCTAAAACGAATGATGACAATAAATATGATGTGGTAACATGACCTGAGATCGATATCCAGGCTTCTCTCAGGAGTAAGGATCTTTTCGGGCTATGCCTGGAAAGATGGAGCCCATTCTAACGGAGGTCTCGAGCTTGTAAGCCCTGTGAGCGGTATAGGAGACTATCACTTATATAACACGTAACATTTACAAAAATGCATTGTATTTTCTATGGGAAGTATTATTTTTATCATTATTAATATCGTCATGATTATCATTATTTCAACAGATAACCAAATTCATGGAAGAGAATTCTCAACAAGCTGATATTAGCTTGTTCGGTAAAGCAATTATCCACCTTTTATGGAACCTGAGGAATTTATTACCGTGTTCACTGAAGGTCAAGATCCCTGCCGAGCTGCCTGAATCCAGTCCACACTGCCACAAAATATCTCTTTAAGACATGTCCTGTTGTTATCTTCCCATCTTTGCCCAAGTCTCCCAAGTAGACAATTCCCCTTATTTATTTATTTATTTATTTATTTATTTATTTGCATCCTTATGTGTTATAAAATCCTTCCAGCCGCAGTATGGCCTTTGGGTCGACTCAGCCTCTAACAGAAATAAGTAGCAGGAATATTCTTGGAATGTTATTGGGAGTAAAGGGAGGCCGGCGCGTAAGGCTGACAACCTTGTCGCCATCTATGAGCTGATTGTCTAGAAAATGTGGGAACCTCAACAACTCACAACCCTATGGGCCTCCACGGCCTGTTATAGGGATAACATTACTTTTTTTTTATGTGTTATAATAATTTGACTTCCTTTTAACTTTTAAAATTTCTTACATGCGTGTTTCTCAAAACCTCTATGACCCACCAATTTCGACCTACTTTCTTTAATTACCACAACAGATTTAGGCAAAGGGCACTTACTGCGGAACTTATAATTAGGCACTCTTCTTCATCTTCCTGTTATTTTCTCTCTCTTGTGTTCCAATATTCTGTTCAGAATCCCTCGTAGAATTTTCTTAGAGTGAATAAAGTTCATACCTATGAAAAGCAACAGAAAAGTAATATTCAGTACATGCTAATACTTAAAAATCTTAAGATTGATATCTATTTATATTAATCTTCAGATTTTTGAGCGTCAGATGAAAAGATAAAGGAGTCAGAAATGAATTTGTATTTCCTTGTCATCATCATCATCATCATCATCATTCGTCAGGTGATGCCAACAAGCTGGAAGGCATCGAACAGAGGTTTGCGGTCGTCTGTTGTAATCGTTTTTTCCCTCAAGTCTATTACTGATATTCCCGTGCTTTGGAGGGATTAAACTTGCATCGCCTGGATGCGCTCTGTCTTGTTCAAGTTTACCTTGTTTCTTAGTTCTGTTCTTCTGTTTTGGAAATCGTTGGTCTTGAAGTTCCTGTTCGGTGTGCGTGCATCGGAGACTTTGCTTTGTTCATGTCTGCTCCTCGTGTAAAACTTGTCCCTCTGCTAGGTATGTATCAACTGCTAATGTTGTTTGGATGGACGCTGACGTATTCATGAAGACGCATGGGGGAGTGGATGTATAGATCCACGTATTCTTGACATCGACACTATTTGGAGGTAAAGGGTCAGCTTTACGCTCCAGCCGCCTTGCTCAGAGGAAAGAGTAGCCGGTACACATTGTTCAGGAGGGTGGGTGGGCTCCAGAGCCGGTTGGACGACGTGGAGAGGAGAAAATGCTTTCCCTTACCGAAACTCAAACTCCGAACTCAGCCTATAGCTAGTCCCTACACCGACTACGCTATCTCGGTTCTCCTAGCTCAAGTAACAACTTGAACATATTTTCATACTGTGCCAACAATTTTTACCTGTCTCTTTCGGTCTCGAAATGTATTTAATATTTCATGAAAAGACATTTTGCTTCGGAATTCTCTGAAGTCCTCATCAATGAAAGTTAAGGGTAAATTAACTCTCTTCTTCCAACTTCCTCCATGATCTTCATTTCCGTGTTCACATCGGCAGTGTACTGTCTTGTCCACGTCCATGGAAACATTGTGCGCCAAAATGATTAGTCCGAATTGTCACATTATTTTCAGTCGCCCTCAACGACATTGCACGTGTATTTGGCCCCTCAGTTTCAACCTCTCTAGCCGGACGACACCGGTGTCTTCTGTGGGTCGGTCCAGAATTATAAATATGAAGTATGGATATGGCTTATCCTTCTGTCACAAACAACCATTGTCTATATTTCACCTGCAAGCAGGTTTACATTCTCATCCGATGTTGTATTTGAAGAACGCCTATATATTTTTTGTCCCATCATATAGACTTCTGGGCTTCATTTTTGGCAACAAGCTCTCTTTCAGCCCCATCTGCCGCAACTCCACTATACGGAAATAAGTGGAGTAATGTGAAGTGTCCTTGTTCGAGTGCACTGAAACGAACACAATCATATGCCTTGTAGGACTTTATATATTTGGATTTGCACTGTGTGTACCTGGTTTATTGTATGTATTTTGTTTTGTATTGTTTCCTTTCCTTGTCTGTATCCGTGTGAGAACTACTGCCACCGGATTAATACCAAATTGCAGTATAATAATAATTAATATGTGAAATGTCCGGATCGTTCTTTACGGAATAAGGACGGTGATGCTTCTGCTCTGCTGTGCTCTAATTTTCTGTAAAATTCGCTACAGCAGTTTGTCAACTGTTCTGTTTTCAAGTCCAAGTTTTTGAACTCACCCATAAAACTGGAATACGTCTTGAAAATGGATTCTTCTGCGCCAGCCACCTTGCAAACTTTTATGAGGAACTGCAAGTACCACAAATTTTCCTGCGGAGGAACTTCCATCACCGCAGTTTACATAGCCAGACCATTAGTGCATCCCCCATTTTCAGTCTCATACCGCAGTTTTCCGCCCAACTCTCCATCACAGGCACGAAATCAACACTCGAGCGCCTCTACCGTGGGAAATAACTTCTCAGCAACTGCCAGCGAACCTCCATGTGAACTTGTCACTGATTGTCTCCCACAGACATACTTCCATTCCACTCCATCAAACTACATATGAACTCCGTCTTGTTCTGTACTGAAAGGGCACACCATCGACTTTTCTCTACAGACATTACTTTGCGCACATGATCTCGAACTATCATAATTAAATTGCTATCTACACAGACGGGTCTTTGATAGATGGATCAACTGACTGCACCTTTGTGTCTGATAATCATATTTACCAGCATCAACCTAGCAGAAAGTTATGCACTCAGCCGAGTCCTACTTTGCATCAGTCATAAAAATCGGATATACGTTTTGTCTGCTCAGAAACACTTAGTACTATATANTTGAATGAGATGATATACATAGGCTTAAACTATATTAAAAGGTTCTGGGAAGAATTTATCGCCTGCTTTCCTTTCATACGACAAGGATCGCATAGAGAATGACGCATCCAAAAATAACTCCATTGTCTCGTGTGCATTCGTCGCCTCAATAAATTTTACTTAGCCGTTGCCTAACAACGATAGGAGGATACACATACAGGCACACAGACTGATGGGAGGGATTTATGAGGCACGCCGTTGAGATGGGCTCAGGTGCCATGATACCGATACAAAGTTACATAAGATTGGTACTAGTATTCAAAAGTTAATAACGTTAGATACA